AAAGACAGACGCTTCTCATAGCGGTCTGAGAGCCACTCTAGAACAATGGAACGGGGAGAAATGGTTAACAATAGCATTCGCTTCCCGACTTTTAAATAGCCACAAAAATAAATATTCTACAAACAAAATAGAATTGTTGGGAGTAGTCTGGGCTACAGAGCATTTTAAAAATTACTTGTATGGCGCTGAGTTTGAAATTGTAACGTAACATAAGGCATTGTTATCAGCATTAAAAGCCAATCATAGCAACAAAACTATGCACAGCAGACTAACCCGTTGGGTAAATCGACTTTTACCATTTAATTTCAAGATCAAACACAAACCTGGAAAAGAAATGTGATTTACAGACCTACTGTTGAGATTATCTTCAGGAAAAGCACTCCCAACCTCACATTACGATAGCGAATTTGTAGTGGCAATAGTTCGAAAGATTAAAGAAAACCTCTCTGTAAATAATGATTGTAAAAAGAATAATTGTAAAAAGAACGAATTGTACAATCCAGTTATCTAAGTTTATAAACTCGAAAAATAACTGCTCTTATGATTTGCTCTTGAAACTTTTAGATCGTTTATTTTCCTTGCAGCCAAGTTTATTCGCATAATAGATATGAAGATTTTTCCGCGCTTTGTATCAGATTTCTGATATTGGGCAAAACACAGCTTATCGGCATGTTCTTCCTTATTGTTCTTTTTTGATTTTGAGAAAAAACAATAAATTGTGAAGTTTCAAAATTTTTTTATTTTGTTCATCTGTTATTTTCATCTTTGACTTGCTTTGTTTTTCACTGAGTTCTTGAATAACTTTTATGCTGGCATTTACCTGATAGTTATCACAAAAAATTGTTCTCTGTTTTCATTTTAAGTGCCGCAGGCAAAACAGCTTGACTCACATGAAAAAGGAACTGACTCTGGTTTCAACTAGTTTAATTTTTATCAGTAAATTTTTCAAGCTTGATAAGAGTTTTAAAATCGTAATATAGACTTATCTTGAATTACCCACCGTGAACTGATTTATTTTGTAATAAAACTGATTATAGATTGTTCGCTCAAGCATAAATCATTATTTAAGCTGGGTCATTTTCAATTTCATGTGTTTTACTGGTGCATATACAAATTAGTCCCAAAAATCATGCAGCGGAGGAAAAAATGAGTCCAATACAAAACAGTCCGGTTTAAGGTCGCCGGTGGGTGCGCTGCGCGAGCGTCGCCGCTTTGCGGTGATAACCGGCTCTAAATTTTGTATTAAGTCCTACCCTCTGTTGGCAAGCTCGCAACACGTTGGCGCGACTGCGGCGGTCACTATTTCGTTCATTATGCTTGTTGAACAAAGGACAATTCTCGGCCCGCCGGCTAGTTAAAACAATTTTTAATTGGGAATGTTTTTCGAACAGTTTTGCTTTGGACTGTTTTTTTTGTTCATTTTCATACTTTTCCGGACTCTTTTGTATGGGACTGTTTTGTATGGGACTGTTTTGTACAGACACGGTTTTACTTTATGCTACTGAATTAATGAAAAATGTTGGTATAATTATTTTGTTTTGTGCTGCTAACCTACGGTTCAAAATTGTTCGTTCTTATTGATCGTGCTCTGAGTTTTTTTCTAACTCTGGTCCTAAAAACTTTTTGGTTTGATTTATATAATGATAAAGAAGATTCGGTTTGTTTGAAGAATACCAGACATTTCAATCATTTTGTCATTCCACTCATACTGTTAACTACACGCCATGAATTAGCTATTTGTCTGTTTGAATTAATTATGGTTTTATAACATGGAAATCAATGTTTGTCTAATACTTTCAGATTCGACTTGCTTTCGTTGTAACTGAGTTCTTGAATAACTTTTATTCGGGCATTTGCCTGATAGTTATCAAAATTAATTGTTTTCTGTTTTATTTTTTTTGTGTCATAGGCAAAACATCGCTTGACTCACATGAAAAAGGAACTGATTTCTGGTTTCAACTAGTTTAAATTTTATCAGTGAGTTTTTTCAAGCATGCGAATAATAATAATAATATAAGACTTATTATGTCATTATTTGGCTAAAAGAAATCACTGGATCAAAGTTGGTGTTTTGAAATGTCTTCGACAGTCCTGTTCAAACATTTGAATTTTTTCTGGCGAGAAAAATAGTTGAAACTTTTCGCGTTAAGGAAAAAAGAATATGTACAAGAAATTGAGTTTCTTTTTTCCATCGTACGGTTAAGTTTTTTGAAAAACAACTGCAGTCAATTAAAGCTTATGCTAAAGCTTTCTTTAGGTCCGATTTGTTGAGCTGCCCAGAATTGTCTATACGTTCGAACCCGAAAATGTGGTATGGTGTGGCTGTGAATGAAATGTCAAGTGGACCAGCTGAGTTTGGCCGAGAGTTGGCTCGACATGTTTTTGGCGTGGGTCAACACTGCGTTTTGACCCAACATAGTCTTTTAGTTAAAGATAGCATAGCAAATGCTGGTCGAAAGCTACTGCCACAAGCCTTGCGGGATTTTTTTTCAAGAGGGAATCAAAGCACGGTTTGAGAAAAAAGAATAGCAAGAAGATGCACTGCGTGCTGCGGATTTGTACAGCTATGAGTTGCGTCGAAGGCTTCAGCGGCGAAGTTAAATCAGATACAGTTGACCTTTGAAATTGCATCCATCTGAATTGTTCTGATTTGAAAAACTCGGTTAACTGATCTTTTGAGCTGAGTTTTTTAAAAGATTTATCTTTTTGGTTTAAGTTTGGAGCGAGAAAACTTAGTTATTGGACAATTTAATATTCTTTTCACTTCCATTTTCATAGAAGTTGCGTGACTTTTTTAAACAAAACTTGCCTCGATAAAATTTAATTACACTTGCACATGGATTTTGAGTTTTTCATGGACAGTTTTTTTGACATGGCTGATGATTGAATGGAAATTGAAGCTATCCTATCGGTATTTTGTTTCCGCGTGTGAAATGTTTTGAATCACTTTATTCAATTTTTTTTGAAACAAACATCTAATGCGATTTTGGAAATCACTTTTTTGGGACCAACTATTTCTCGTAGACGTTTTTACGCCAAACATCTGATGCGATAGTTTTTCTTCGCCCGAGTTGTTTCACACGCCAAATTTATGAGGTTTCGATAAACTGTCTGATTTAAGGATTGCCCAGAGGATAAGGTAAGCTGTCTGATGTTTTTTACTCATTTTTTTTTCTGGCTCAGCATGCGTCTGTCTTAGTTTTTTCCGCATCGTGTCTAATTTGAAATCTTGTTTTATGCCTTTATTGAGTTTGATAGCAAAATGACCATTGCTTTTCCTGATTTTTGTGGTTTCCTTCTGCTTTGATTGTTTCAATTTTGCTCCAGGGGCCTACCGTCTGGCGCTGATTAGTGTGTTCTCGCCCAATGCGACGCCCAAGCGGTACGAAATTTTGTGGAGTGCGGCTCTAGGAAAGCTCGAGTTGTCGTACCGCTGAAAATAGAGTGGAATTTTCAGAAGCTTCTTGCGGAAAAAGTAGTGTGGGAAAGTGCTTACAATAATGTACGATACCTTTACGAGTCAATCAAAGATTCTTTTGCAATAAAGCATGACAATAACGGGGGTTATAAACTGATTTATAGTGGAACAGAATCGATACCAGGGCAAATTGTTCTACCAAATGGACCAAAAGGCATCCTCCGGATCATTCCAGAGGACTTCACTTACCTTTCGGTGATATACAAAGTCTCTGATAGAGAAACAGCATATTTAATGCTGGGACCTATTCGTTTCATTAATTCAGATTGTGAACCGAATTGTGAGTATGACTTCTCGTCACTCGACAAAACTTTAGTCCGACTTCGTACTTTGAAAAAATTGAAAACCAATGATGAAGTTTTGGTACAGTATAGTGACGATTTCTTCTCAAATCATGAGTGCAAATGCCGAACTTGTTCAGTGTGTGAGAGAGAGAGAGAGAGCTGCATTAGAATTGCAACAACCTGTACTGCAAACACCTGTACCAATTAATGAAAATGCGGAAATTATAGCTGACAGTCAACCTGAAGTTCCTATGTCATTAGAACCATCCCAGGGTAGAGGGCATGAAATTATGGATAATATGGCATTGCACAAAACTCGCAACGAATTTTCGCCAGTGGCCGAAACACTACAAGAAGATCGTTCTCCAGCAAAGTATCAAGATGGAGATCATAAAAACTTTGCTGATATAGATCTGCAAAGCACTAGTAAGTGGCTGAATTATTGCAAGAGGATCTTACAGCTAGGAAAAAGCACGCTTGCGTCGGCACGAAAAAAATCGAGCTTATAAAGATATGATGAAAGGAATTAACGATTGTAGCGATATATTAATTGGCGATTTTGATGAGGCTGATCTGTTAACTTCATCTGCAGATCAGGTGCAGTGTGAAAACGTTTTTGACTCACCGACAACTCACAGGTGTTAGTTGCGCAGGAACCTGAAGACTCTGATACAGATTATTTGAAAGATCTAGAATCTGCAAGTCACCTTCTCGCGACAAGCTCGCCTTTGCCAAACGCGTCTATGCCTGGTCCGCCTGAATGTTGCAGGTTTCCGAGTTAACCATTCGTGGGCGCTTCAACACCAAATTCTGCTGAAAAAACAAATTTTTTGAGTTACGAATTCAAGCAGCGCCGGCCAGTTCTGGAGGAAAATTATTTTGAATTACTTGGAGGCACATTTACTCCCTAATACCCCAGTTGCAGAGTTGGATCCAAAAATGCACAATTTCTAATCCGAGCTTTCACCAATCATCATAAAAATTCGGATGCTTGTCAAGTTGACTTACTGAAGCTCTTAAAAACAATTATGCCAAATCCTAATCTGCTGCCATCTGCATTTAAAAGTCTGCAGAGCATTAAACTGAACCTCAAAGATCTAACAGCAAAACTTCTTCCTGCATCAGAAAGTCAGACATGCGTATTGAAGTTTGCAGAACTGCTTAAGGATATTGTACAAAGAAACAATTTAAGCATTATTAAATAAAAAATAAGTCGTTGTCGCGATGAAGTCTCCGATATGCCTGTTGAGCTTTTGCAGATTGCCGAACAGCTAGACGAAATCTGCATTGACTTGATTTTATCAACTGACGGAGTTACTTTTGTGAGCTCAAGCGTCAATCACCAAATGTACCCTATTTGGCTTTCTGTTGCCCAGCTTCCTCCGATTCTACGGATGTCTAAAAAGAATATTGCTTTGGCCGCTTTGTTTGTTGGCAAAGGAAAGCCTAATTGGGAAGAAATTGTAAAACAATTGACTCAAGAGCTACAACGAAAGGTTGCAGTTCTAATGCCGAATAGACGTTTATTTTGCCTCAAGTTCCATGTTGTGCTTATTGTCGCTGACCTCATAGCTAAGTCAAATTTTTTGAATATGTACCAGCATAACAGGTACTACGGTTGCCAGTATTGTCCCCATCCTGGAGTCACTTATGGCTAAACGCACTCATACTATCCCCTCAACATCAGGCTTAATGACGAAGTTTATCGGGTAAAGCGGCAAATAAGAGAGCCAATGTACCATGAAAATCTGGTAGAAAAAGCCGAAAATTTCATGCAACAAGGCAACCAAAAAGTAAATATGGTAGGTGTTAAAGGTAGAAGCGCTTTTAGTTGTGTTGTTCCTGGATTGGCGTTGTCAGCACCAGTTGATTATATGCATTGCGTTTTAATTGGCGTCTATGCTAGTCTATTGGCAAGACACATGAAGTTGCTGAAAAAAAGAGAGGGTTGAAATTGACGATATTATGTACCATGTCGCAGTTCCTGTTGAATTATCTCAGCACGGTTGACAGCCAAGAGTTCTCTCCGAAGTGTCGCAGTTCAAAGCGAATGAATACTTCAATTACTTGTTCTTCCTTGCGCCAGTTGTTTTTCGTGAGTTCTTGAAACCGGAATCTTTTTAATACAAGAGCTTGTTGCGCCTTTTTTTCGGTGTGAGGATTCTTCTTGAAACTCAAGTTGAAAAAAAAACATAACAGTAGCAGAAAAGTTACTCGATAAATTTTCAGAGGATGCAGTTGATATTTTCGGTGATAAGAAATGTGAAACTATAAACTTTCATTGCTTACAGCATTTACCAGATGAAGTGCGGCGTTTCGGTCCTCTCTTTGTTATGTCTGCAATGTGTTTCGAATCAGCCCATGCTTTCCTTGCCCATTTCGCATCTGGGTCACATGAATTTTGTCAAATAATTTGCAGACGTTACCTGGAGTATCATCAACTCCTTCAAGCTTCTACAGAATAAGACGATGCGACAGACTTGGCAGAAAGTTGGACTTATTGAAACAACTCCGCTCAACTGAAAGAAACTGACACTGATTTACTTGAAACAGTTCAGGTTTTAACTGCTCGTAATCTCTATGATTGAGTCTCGCTGCAAAGTGGCGCATTGGGTTTTCGACTCTCGTTGCTACAAACAAAATCCGAGAGGTCCAAATAGTAATAATTGCTTTAGAGCCAATGGTGCTATGCTTTTTGGCCAAATTGAGTACTTCGTAACTTTTGAGGACAGTATAGAGAAGTACGCGTATGTGACCCTGCATTAACCTATTAGATACGGCCTCTCTGATGACAGCGATCTGAAATTTGAAAACTTTGTCCAAGTAATGTCAACAGAGCAAACGCAATGAGTGAAAGTTAGTGAAATGAATAAGTGGTCCTCATAGAAAACAAAACTGAGAAATCGCTAGTTTTTGTCGTGAAATTTGTTGATCATAAGTGAATGCCTTGTCTAAACTTGTTACCTTTTGTGGACCTTAATTGATTGCTTTTTTGAAGTTTTTGTTCAACTGTTTTCTACGGTTCGTTTACATTTTTCCGGCGGTGTCTGCTCCGTGTGTGCTATGGTTTCAAATCAGCAGAGAATGCTCATTTGTTTTCAAGTTGTGAACTAGTGTAGAGGTAAGATTCGGTTTTTCTTCTGATTCTTATGTAAATTTAATCAGCCAGGCGCAAATGTTGAATGGTTCCATGAGATGCATTGAAAAAGTCTATTCATAAATTTTATTAACTTTTTTCAAAAGAAGCTTTTCGTGGAAATTTTTAATGCATCCAAAAGTGGTTTTCAACGCTTAATGGTATTTTTCATGAAAAAGATGCTGTGCTAAGAAAGTTTTAAACTATAATCAGAAGTTGCAATTGCCTTATTGAAATTTTAAAATAAATTTTAGATGAAATAAAAATTGGCGATTCGAACCTTCGCCGAAGCGGCTCATTCATGAGTAATTATTCTCAAATCGAAGGAAATGGGTAAGTGGTCCAAATTATAATGATTGTTCAAACGATCGGACCAAATTGAGTTTTTTGTTCAGACCTATAATTGACGCCCGTGGAGGCTGTATCACTATGAAACTGCGGTTTCTGACCGAGCAGGTCAATCACTACGAATGTATTCTTATTATTGTTGGAAACAATGACATAAACAGCAAAACGGATGAAGAAATCCTTCACAATATAAAAATGTTCAAAAATGCACTAAGGAAAGATGTGAATTCCAAAATTTGCGGGTTTTTGCCTCGGCGAGATCACCCAATACTGTTCAATCACTCTGAAAATACATGGGAAAATCCGGTCAAACGGGTCAACAACAAACTTAGAAGGCTATATCCGAAAAAATATGCCTCGCCTGCGTGTTTCAAATTGGAAGACTTCCTTCTAGAAGATGGTGCCCATCTGAATGATCTCGGACAAAACCATATGTCTCATTTTGTACTAAAATGGTGCCGAATTTTCAATAATTTTGATTGAAACTATTATTGTAACAGGTTCTCGTTTCCTTTTTTTGAAAAGATTTTTATCTTTTAACGCTGTTTTAATCCAAGTAAGATCATAACATATAAGCATGCTATCAAATTTTAACGGATCGAAAAAAATTTTTGGAGACTTCATAACTCGAAATATAAAATAAAACTACGTTAAAAATTAGGTCTGGTGCAAGTCATTTTAGTGATAGCCGGAAAATGCTTTTGAAACAGCTGGCAAAATGTTTTGAAAAATTGGCGCAAATCCAACATGTGTTTTTTGCTGATTGACGTGACGATGCCACAATTTTTTCTATAATCTGACTGAATTTCTCTAAAAGCGCTAGATCAAGTGAAGTTAGGTTATGTCGTCAGTTTTTTAAATTACTAATTTTTGAATTATGATCCAACTTGCATGTGAAGATAAGTCTGCCAGTTTTTCCCAACTAAAGATGTAGTTTCGGTCGTGATTTATCATTGATCAGTTCTGAAAACTTCAAAGCATTTGTGACTCATGATTTTTTTCTTAAGTAACATAAGAAAGTGGAAGCACTGCAATTAATCGATAAATTTTTTTAGTGAAAGTTTGGTGCAAACCATTTCATCAGTGAAAGTTTGGTGCAAATCATTATATTAGTGAAAATTTGGTGCAAGCCATTCTGTTAGTGAAAGTTTGGTGCAAGCCATTTTATTAATGAAAGTTTGGTGCAAGCCATCATATTAGTGAAAGTTTGGTGCAAGCCGATCTATTAGTACAATCTGACCTATGCAGAAATGTCAACTTCTAAGGCCACCATCGGAATCTTATATGAGATGACTGGGTCAGAAGTCAGCCAATCGATGGCGCCGAGAAGCACAATACTGCCCTATTTTACATTGTAAATCAGTGCAGTATTCTGCTTCTGAGCGCCGTCGCTTAGCTGACTTCTGACCCAGTAATCTTATATATGATTCCGATCGTGGCCTTAAAAGTTGATATTTTTTCATTCGAGTAGTTCTGAATTTGGATCAAAAATCATATCAATGAACATTAATTACGTATGTGTTGAATGTTTTCTGTTTTCTCGCACGTGTAAAATTTTGTTTTTTAGAGGAAATGAATTAATGCTGATGACATAACTTGCGGATCACAACTGGAGTATGTATGCTTGGAGAATGTTTCCATCAGGAAAACAGGTTTTTTGGCGTTTGAGACAACTCCTCCCTTATGGTTTTGGTTCATCTAGGAGTAGGCTTAGGAAATTTCTGCTCTCTCAAGAGTTGAGGAGATTTGCCTACAGAAAATGAAGAATTCGAGGTTCCAACCTCTAAAACCCTCTGATTTTTCTGTTGGTTTTCTTCTCTGTTCAGAGATTGCACGTTTTATGGGTAAGTTTAAACGCTAATTGAGCCTCATTTGAGTTTCCAAAAAATTCTTATCTTACAGTTTCCATATATGAAAAAATGCTTATCGTACAATTTCCATTTATGATAAAATGCTTATATTACAATTTCCATTTATAAAAAAATGTATATCCTTCAATTTCCATATATGAAAAAATGTTTATCCTACAATTTCCATAAATGAAAAAAAAGTTTTTTCTACAATTTCTATATATGAAAAAACGCTTATCCTAAAGTTTTTTTTTTACAATTTTCTGAGTCTATGAAACTAAAAAATTGTAGCTTTTTTTCATTTACGGAAATTGTAGGATAAGCATATTGGTCAACCCACGCTAAGATGCAGTTGAAATACTATCTACAATTTGAAAAAGATCTTAACTGTTCTCAAATCAAGTAATATTTTTTTCGATGTCTTGACCAAAAACAATGTGAGCGACTTTTTTCAAATGCTCGAGCAAAATAACCACTGGAAAATATGTAAAATTTGAGCGGTTTGAGCGGTTTTTTTAGACAATTATGCTCAAAATCTTGCTTCAAAATGAGCGGTTTGAGCAGTTTTTGAACGGTTTATCTTAAAAAACCGCTCAAAAACCGCGCAAGATTTGAGCGGTTTTTTTAAACAATTACGCTCAAAATTTTGCTTCAAAATGAGCGGTGTGAGCGGTTTTTGAGCGGTTTATCTAAAACAACCGCTCAAAAACCGCGCAAGATTTGAATGGTTTTGAGCGGTTTAAGAACACCAAAAATACTTTTCTCTTACTCAGCGTCTTAGGAATGACTTTTTTACTTTATACCAAACAACTAGTCATTATCCTGATGAAACGACATCTCACTATGTTTTCCATCTTCACTTCAGGACTCAAATGAGAGCGAATACAGTCTGTAGAGTTCCCCCAACTTCAGCACCCTGCGCACCCTCCCCCGCTCACAGGGTCTGTGGAGCAACAGAAGTAAGCAGCAGGATGACTTCGTGCCCCCCTCCAATGGCATGTTGGGTCATTCGCCCAACAGATATGTCTCGCTATGGTGAGTTTCGTAGTTTTTTTTAGTTGACCAGAATTGTTTTACCCATAACGATTTTTTAAAAGTGAAGAAAAAATTATAAATTCTCATTTTGAGAAAATCCAATGTAAATTTCCAAGTACATTAAGTTGTATCGACGAATAAAAATTAATCAAAAGCTGCTCGGAGTCTAATAGTTCGGTGTTGCGCTATAATTTGTAATCCATGCTAATAGTTTGTGGTTTTATTGAGCTTGATCGCGGAACTGAAAACCAATACTCCAAGTGATAATTTATCACAATTGCTACAAGACTCGTGTTATAGTTTCAACGAAATTGACTGAATATTACTTTTTTTAATTTTAGAGTCATCTGTCGTCGAAAGGTCTGTTCCACAGAGATCTGGCCTGTCGGAATATTCTCCTCGCCTAAGACTACTCTGTCAAAGTGGGGGACTACTCTATGGTCAGATTCGCATGCTCACACCCAAAGTACTTATCAAGGTAAACATAGATATATTAGACTGCAGTGATCCATTCAACTTCTTTTTGGGCGAATTAAATTCTCACAATAGTCTGTATTAGTACTGCGAAACCCGTTGTGACAAACATCAAATCTCATTGACCACACCCCCCCCCCCCCCACTCCCCAATGAAAAAAGGAGGCGATTCATCAGTAGGTATACATCAATCGCGTGTGCTGAACCATTGAAATAGTCTTTTCTACCGTTAGATATTAAGCTCTTGTTAGCATGGGGCTTAATTACTAGACAAGAGGTCTCGCAGCCCAACCGTTGAGTAGTGCGAATAAACAACCCTTGTTTTTAACTTTTATCTTTAAATGTTCGGTCGGTTATGATCTCGCGTTGACTTAACGCGATTTCTGGTTTTAGAAACAGTGGGAAGATTCCGATCAAGTGGATGGCAATTGAGGTGCTACAGGACCAGACACTCGCACCCAAGAGTGACGTGTAAGAACAGTTTTCCTTGTCAATCTATTTTCAGACTTTTTGCGACTACTTTTATGAAGATTTGAACATAGATTATGTCAATTAATCCAGACTCGCGCTTCTCTCAAATGTATTATTATTAGACCATTGCAATTCTTTTTTCAAGAAAAATAAAAGTACTCAAGCATATTTTCCAAAAATACGCCACGGAAAACTCTTTTTAACCAGTGTTGGTTATGCGAACTGAAAATACTGAAACAACTGAAGTAACAACGATATTTCACAAAAAAAAATTGAGCGACTGATTTGAATTATTTCTCTGATATGCATTTTTTATTTCATCGTCTGATAGCGATTTTATGTAACCCTTTTTTCAAACTCTATTTGTTTAAGAGATATTTTTTAAAAGTAAATGGGGACTCTCATGTGCTATTCGTTCAATTGATGGTTATTTGATCATCCCTTGTTCCAGATGGAGTTTCGGAGTGGTGTTGTATGAACTGTGCACTTTGGGCAGTGTCCCTCTCCCCAACATCCCCTCTGCAGACCTCCTTAAGACCCTCTTCACGGGATACAGGATGGACCAACCTAACACATGCTCAGACACTCTGTGAGTAACAAGTGTTTTCTATTATACAATAGTCTACAATAGTCATATGTATAACGTCCTACAATAGTTCAAAACAAGACCTCTATGAGATGGTTTCTCCTCTTTAGAAAAACATTTGTTAGTTATAAAACCCTTTTTTTACAGAAAAAACTTCAAAAGTCAACTCTGATCTCCACGCTTCTATTGCTGTTTTTCTCTTAACTTTGGTATCAATAACTGAAAATCAACCTAAAATCGTATTGATGTCCATAATTTTCTTAAACATTTTTTAACTCTGAAAAGTGTGTTTTTGTATAATAGTAATTGGCATAGCAAAGCTTTGTTGAAGTGAGCACCGTTCAAATCTGGACTATATTTAAATGCGAGTGACAGCTATCTCCCATGTTTAAGCATAATAAATTTGTATGTTTAACGAAAGAATTTTTCCATGTTTAAGCTATATCATATATTGCAATGCTTAAGGAAATATTTCAATTTGTTTTTCGCAAGGTCATTTATTTTTCAGTATTTTTTAAGGCCATATTATGTCTGTCTGTCTGTCTGTCTGGATATCTGCTTTTTAAATTAATTTGATTATGTCTGTCTACCCGTCGCCTAATTTTTTAAATTTCATCCATTATAAACTTAAATGCGGGCTTCACTATCTCGCCATGTTTAGGTTTTTTCAACGTATTTATTTTGCATGTTTAACAGAAGAATTTTTCACGCTTAAGCTATTTCGTATATTGCAATGGTTAAGGTTTTTTTTTCGATTTTCCAGTTTAAATTTATGAGTATTTGTTTCATCAAGTTTGAAATTAGCAACCCAATAGTAGGATATTGTCAGTTTTATCAGGTTTTGCGATTCTGGCCTGCATATATGAATAACCAAATCCTTTTAGTTTACGAGATAAGCAATTTTCGAGATTTTTCAAAAACTCTCAAAAATTTAATTTAGAAAATTTCTGAAGCTTGAAATTGTCATACTGTAGTTGGATGCTGTCAGGGTACTCTCAGGAGTTGCAAATTTTGCCGCCAACTTTGACTGCTGAAATTTTTGTAGTTTTTGGGATGACGTTTATTATGATTTTCTCTGAAATTTTCAAAAAAATTAATTGTTAAAAAATTCCAAGTTTGAAGATGTCAATTCTGTTATTGGAATCTGTGAGGGTACTCTCAGGAGTTTGCAAATCTTGCCTCTGAATATGGCTGCTCAAATTATTGTACGTTTCGAGATATGACGTTTTTTTTTTAGAAAACTTAGGTATAAAAAATTTCACAAAACTTGAAATTTTCATCTCCGTAATGAGGCTCTGTCAGGGTGTTCTCAGAAGTTGCGAAATTTGCCACTAAATATGACTGCTCAAATCTTTGTAGTTTTTGAGAAATGACGTTTGTTATGATTTTCTCCGAAATTTTCAAAAAACTTAATTGTTAAAAAATTCCAAAATTTGAAATTCTCAATCCTGTTGTGGGCTATTGTGAGGGTACTCTCAAAGGTGGTTGTTGTTGTTGTTGTTGTTGGGGATTCACAGCACTGCTGTTGGGATTCTTGGTCCCGGCGTCTTCTCTAAAACAATGTCCACTTGTTTCTGCACGTGATACAATCACAGAATAATTGCCACGTGCACGTTGTCATTTCTGAAAATCTCTCGTTTACAAATTTCCACATCGTGTTTAAAATTCTCGTCTTGAGGCCGATTCGTTTATCAAAACGAATATATGGTTCTAATCGATTTACAATCCTACTGGTTCTGAAAACAAATTCGTTTCTCGCTTTTTCCGTTCTCACTTTTCGCATCTCAAAAATTTCTGTATTTCTAGCCCGTGTGGTTCGCCTGTTTAACACTATTTCATTTCGTTCATTAGAATCAAGACTGGCAAGAAGTAAGATGTTATTTAGCTGGATGAACATGGGCAGGGGTAAAATGTTTAGCAAGCGTAGTTCGTTGATGTACACTCCCGTTTTATTTCCAGTGATCCAACGGATTACTTTCTTTTGAAATCGCTCCAACTGCAATTGATCCCCCCTCGATATATGTGTACATGAGAGTCCGTATAATAACACAAGGTTGCGAAGCTTGCCTCTGATTATGGCAACTCAAATCGTTGTAGTTTTCCAGATATGACGTATTTTGTGATTTTTCAAAGTTTGAATTTCCTAAGCTGTAGTTGGGGTGCTGTCAGAGTAATCTCAGGGGTTGCAAATTTCGCCTCCAATTAAGAACGCCCAAGTCATTTTTGCTCAAGAGATACAATTTTTGTGATTTTTTTGTGATATTTTTCAGAAAAATTGTATTTACAAAATAATTCGTTAAAGTAAAATTCACAACCCTGTAGTTGTGTACTTTCAAAGATTGCAAATATTTTGATAGTTTTAACAAAATATGTCACGTAGCATATCTTTGTGTATTGCAAGCGGTGGGAAGCACCGCTTTGCCTCCGTCAAATTTTGTTTTCAAAGGATTGGATCAGTTTTTGCTATCAAAACATTTCCTTGTAATTCAAAGAGCTTCAACATCACCCTCCCCCAACATCTTTCTCTCTCCCCCACCCCCCCCCCCCCCCAACGAAAGAGGAACTTAACAATTTTTTGGATCCTAAAGCAAAAAAAGTGCGATGACAACCCGGGGATTTTTATCATAATTTTAACTGGCTGATAACAATCCAAGCTGTTGTTCCGACTTTGAAGAAAGTGACGGAACAGTTGTGCTTAAGGTGGTTTTTTCTCTATGCAAAATTCGGCTTTTTTAATAAGCCATTTTTTTCGGAGTTTTTTTACCATCTGAAAGGTATTGTTGTCCTGAGCTCAAAATTAAAACCTGTGATTTTTTAAAAGTTAATGGGGGGTTGAAGATTGCCAATTGAGTAACTAACACGCGATATATTTTGTGCTTTTAACGCGTAAGCGCCGATAGATGCGGTCAAATAATTATTGAACTGAAATTATTTCCTTTCTCTTGAAAATATTGCATTCTGATTGGTTGAAAATTCGCATCGCTCAATTTGCGAAATTACCAAGTGATCTTTATCACACCTAAATCAATTTGGGGGGGGGGGGGGGAGGGGAGGAGAGGAGGGAGAGGGAATGGGGATTGTTCACATGGTCCAACTGCTCGGCTAAGTTCGAACGTGCAAATCAGTCTTATTAAGAGGGAAAAAGGATTCTTCAGTTTTAATGTTTTAACTAGCTCTTTCAAAATCGGTTTGGGCAACGAGTCAGTGAATGCTGAGCTAGTAATAATTAAAGATCTTTATCCAGGTACAATATGATGATCCGGTGCTGGCGTGAGAAACCGGAGGAGCGTGCCGACTTCCCTCAGCTACTGACCGCACTCACCGATCACTCGGAGGAGAATCCGCATTCGTCCCTCATTCAACTCAACAACGACGACAACAGCTCTTCGGGGAGCAGCACCACACCGAGCGTCCCCCTCCCCCGTGCCCACGAAGAAGCCAAACAATGCACCTGTGTGTCAGACTGACCGAGTCAAAATGTGTTGGGTAGCCAGAGAGGGTCTGTTTCTGGTCAGCAAATGGGATTGGAATCGAACACTTTGTCAAGTAAGATTTTTGACCTTGTTAGTTTGGTTCTGGGAGCTTCTAAATTCTTAGATCTGCTATCTAAACCTGGTTTTTTCAAAATGGGTTTATTGAGCTGGAAAAGAAATGACCCATTTTTTGCAAACTGAAACTATTTTTCTTAATTTTAACTAAGATTTCATAAAAAGGTTCAAAGATTTATCAAAAAATTTATTCGTCTGTGTTTTAGGCTCTGAATCTGGATCCATGAAAAAAAAATGTCATCTTCGAATATAGTCCAATCGCAATTGAGATTTGAGAAAACGAAGACCGAGATTAGAGTGTGAAAAGTAACGAGACCGCAACTATAAAACTTACTTAACTTTTCAAAAATTTCAAATCGTAAACTGCTCCTTCATAATTTGTTTTGTAATTTTACATCTTTTGCATGCATTTTAAAAAATGAGTCGTGAGACAGCTGATTCCGAACATAAAGCAAATGATTGACTTTTCAAGAATTTTTTTTGAAAAAAAAATGGATTATAATCGATTATAATGGATTAAAAATCGATAACGTGGTCTAATTTTGACATGATAATCGATTATATTGACAACATTTTATTCAACGAAAATTCATTATAATCGATTATTACCCTTGAAACTTCGGTACAACACTTTATGAACACTGGATATCAAAATTCGGTTAAGCCGAAATCCTTGTTACAGACAATGGCACTGGACTTATAAACAACGAAATCATTACACTATGCCACTTATATAACATTAAACACAAACCACGTAAATCTCATGCACCTTGGACTAATGGTTTAGTCGAAGGCATGAACCGTTCACTACAAGAATATCTTAGATGTATCATTAACGGAAATTACACACGATATACTGAATGGCCAACAGATGTAAAATTATTCCCACTATCTTATAATTCACAGATCACAACAACCTAGGACTATCACCCTATGAAATGGTTTTCAACCAGAAACCACGGAAACCAATAATGTTCACAGCAAATTCTTCAAAAAATGCACAAGGTTATTGCCAACCAACTAAAGAATCAATATGTTACAACTTACCACTACACACCCACGATGAAGATCATTTTCATCATCCACAAATTTTAAAATTAGCTTCCGGAACACACACCGAATGGATTTTAAACAGAGACAAAACACACAACGAAATTACCAGAATGTGACAAAAAATTGCTACAAAGTAAAGTATAAATTCCTAATTAAATTCTCGATTTACCCCAGCTACAAATTTGAAAACCGTACATATGTTTTAATTCCAAATTTTGCAACACAAAAAGGAATTTCTAAAAATTTACAACCACTCCGAAAAGGACCGTATCAAATAATTGATAAACCCACAGATGTAACATACAAAGTCACAGACTTCAACAAAAAAGAAATAGTTCAACATCAAAACAATCTTTTACCGTACTACCCAAAAGAGTACGCACTTCGAGAACTTACTCAATTATACTATTTTACAGGACTTAAAGTCATTCAAAATAGTTCAGAACAAAATCAAAATCAAAATACTGATATGCAAGTCATACAAAAACAATTAGATAAAAAGGAAAAAGAACTTCTCAAACAAATATCAAAAAACGTAGACAACAAAAAGATACCTCAAACAGAAAGAGAAAATTAAAAATTAGAAGAAAAATTATACCACAAGATCAAAAAGAAAAATCTCCACATAGAAAATCATCGCGACTTCGTAATCAGCCACGAAAAGATTACAAAACACTCATCCAACAATCTACAATATTTTAAAAAAGTTGAGTTTAAATTCAATAACATTTTCTTTTCTTGAAGTGATTTTCATGGACCGAACATTTTCTCAAAATTCAGGTTGAAAAGCACTTGAACAAACTAATTCAAATTCAGCCATTTAGAAGCTTTTCCGAATTAACACTCATTTTTAACACGACTTCATTAGCCAACAAACAACCACCCTCAAGCTAATCTCTAACTATAACTCGAAGACCTCCAAGTCAAAAATAAGCAAACCACTAAATATTGACGCCTGAAATGATCAAAGTTTCAAAGTTACAACTCTCGCCTATCAAGCAGTTCAAAGATCAACAATATTGTACCAATTTAGACCTCAAAAACACCTCAGGCAAAAATATTAAATTAACCTACAGAACAAAATAGTTATGATCCTTTAGCCTAAAGTACGAATATCTCTCAGATACCCCCAATCATCCGATAAATAACAACAAAACCAAGAAGACACTTAGGAGCCCTCCAAACTTTACCTTCTCAAAATTTGCCGAAATCCAACCCACTTGTCAAAAAAGCAATAAATAATCCGACCACACTTGAATTTAGCCTCAAAAAAATTAAAAAATAATTCGACGAAGAAATCACTTCTTCAAATGCTATTTTCTCAAACAAATCATAAAATTTATAACATACTTGCAAATCTTTTTTCAATAATTTCCAAATTTTTCAAATCTTTCATAAATTTCATTTCCAACATTTTAGAATTATTCATCCTCACCCTGATAATTTTTTGCAACTTTTTCATGATTTTTTGTTCACTAGCCCAAACCTAAAAAAACTTCTCCAAAATCCTTGACCACCTCTTCAGGTACGATATTTGAAATAACTATCTAAATGTTCAAACATCTATTCAGTAGAACAGATGTTTTCCTTTTTTTTAAATATTTCTCACATTTTTGAAATCCCTGATAATGACAGTATGCAAATGTATTAAAAAAGTTATCGTAACCTTTGCATTAGCAACGATACTTTTAATCATTTTTACGAAGAATATTACAGTAAACACAAAATTTCTTCTTAAATAATTTTCAAAAAAGTTTTCCAAAATTGCTTATCAACAACCCCTACATCAATCCCCTCTAACAACGTCCCAAGATCCTCCAACAACACCAACAAATATTCAAAAAAATAACTCTCAATCATGAACACGCATCTCTTTTCAAGACAATCCATACACATTTGAAGAAAGACAAGCACGATTGTCCCAACCACTAGAACCAGTAATTCGCTAAGCACCTCTAAGCGAACCACATTACGATTCAGTATATATTATATACCCTCCTCTCCAACAAGATCTTAATAGTGCAAGACACCAAAGACAAAATTAAAACACATTCGAAATCAATAGACAAATTATTCATCCACGACGAAATAGAAAATTACAAAACCCCAGAGTTCAATTCAGCATACCTCACTCACCTACAACAAATCCAATAAAACTTTCTAGCAGTACAATTCAAAGTCCCCACAGCCTCCAGTGCAACAAAACACATCGTAAATTCCCACAGATTATTTAGGTTCAACCCCTACATCTGAACAAATCAGAGAAAACCCTTTTAACCCCCAGCCACTACAGAACATCTCCCATTTTGGATGAAACAAGCTTTTACCCAAGACGAACCATATTTATTAAATGATCCAATAGACGTTTCATCTGACACATCTCTGTCACTACCTGAAACTCTTTCGCTTCCCTCAACACCTTCTTTAACTCCAATTTCACAAACACCAATTCCTCCAAATTTTCCTATAAATCTCGACGCCAGATAAAGAGAAATTTCAACAAATAACATACAACTACGATTAGATTGGAATACATTCGTAGCACCCCCTCCAATATTTGGACAACATCATGAAAGTCACAGATTACACAACTGGGCACTAAATAGATTAGAATATCGACAGGACATTCACAAAGATATTCAAGACCATAATATACAAATACTTAGACAAGACAACTTGACAATAAAATTCGAAATCACAGTAAAACTAAACAATATAGTTCACCATCCCTTACACCTTGCACCTCCAAATATACCAATTATAACAGCTCAATCTTAACCTCCCCCGTTTATAACCACAGAAATAATCTACAAATACGATAGATACTTAAAAAAGACAATAGGATATCTCACCTTTTATAATCCATATTCAGGACTATCGTACAAATGAACATTTTAAAGATAATAAATTTTCAAACTCTTTTCTTTTTCAATTTTTCAGAATCTGATCCCAACAATCCTTCAACCCGAACCGGACCCCAGGATTTACTAGTCACACACTATGACTGTGAAGAAAATGAACAAAAAACATTACACAAATATGCAATAAACCAAGTCACTCAATGTGAATCCGAATCACAATCAATCGAAATAACAAATGTAATAGCAACAATTAACTCAAAAGCCAGAGCTACAACACTAATATGATATAAATTCACAGCAACATTTTCCGAAAGAAAGTACATTGTTCACAAGGTTCAAACGGAAAGAAAAAAAACAGATTAGACCATGAATCTTTCTACCAAACTAAAATCGAAAGACTATTACACCTCAGCCCTGACGATTGCAAAAACGAACTTAAAAGACTAAAAATCAGATCAAATAAAGGCACAAACAGAAAAATAGTAAATTTTCAAGTTTTTCCAGACGTAGCACATCAAGCTCAACTTGAAAAATATCAAGGTCATATAAGACTAGATAACAAATTCCCCTTTCACGGAGCACATGAAATATTAACATTTGATCTCCTTGATAAAAATTGGGTTCCACACATTGGAACAAACAAACCCTCAAATTGTAATGCAGATACAAAAAATAAAGGATACCAAGATATAATGTTTTTTGATTGGAAAACACAACTTGAAAAGTACAACTAACAGGTGATTTAAAAGATGACACTATAATTTATCAAGGAATCAGACTCCCTTGCAAAAACGACCAAGGATATTGCGATTCTACTACGCGCACACAAGCAACAATCGTTTGGTTCCCCGAAGACACCTGAACAACATTTCAACTAGCAAAGATACACGCTAGAAAGATAAAATTTCATTAAAAAATATTTTATTGAATCAATCCGTTTGAAGATGTAAACACTGACAAAATTAGACATAATAATTATAATTTTAGAACCATCCATATTATAGCGACCAAATTGACACGTTTCCAAATACACCCAGAAACAGAAATTACATGTAA